GATGATAATTGATCTACAAATATAGAGATATAAAGTATTAATTTCTTGCAATGCTAAATTAAATAAGGTCTTTAATTTTAATTTAGATCTCTCACTATTTTATTCAAATTAATAGCCTTTTCTATTAATATGGAAAATCCAACATTTAGATCTCCTAGTTGCCTAAGATCCCAATTAACCCATATAACCTTGAGTTTGCCCAACAAGTCATATTGAATCAATTTAGGTGGATAACGTAGCTTATTAATCACATTTTATGTAATTGTTAGATCAGTTAGGTGACAACTCTTTGTCTAAACATATCAAATAAATTTCGCCTAATCTTTGTTCTAATCTTACTTGATCATGAGTTTGTGCATCCGAATCAAATAAGTAAAACCATTGTTCAAGATATTCGATAGCATTAAACACATTTGGTTACAATCAACCTTGGGTTTGCCTGACAAATCAATTGTAAGGAAGCTTTGGTTTTCATGCTATAACAATGGGTGGTAATCAATCATATCTTCAATTCTCATTTTTTTTCTTTGGTTACAAAATAATATCGTATTTACATATTCTAATAATCTAACTATTACATAATTGAATGAAAAAAATAAACAATTTTACAATTTAAAATAAAAGAGAATCAGGACACACGGGCCTTATTTAAAATTACATGAAATTCATTCAACCAAATATAATAAAGCCAATCACATAGGTCTTTCTAATGTCCATAATCACCCATCATATATAATCATATCAAATGCCTTTAAATATTATTTTAATAATTAAAATTTCATTTTTGATATTTTTCAAAATCAATTTATGAATAAAACAATTTTATTCATATATCAAATCTTACTAAAACTAATTTTAGAATAAAATTATTTTATAAATTAATTTTACTAATTCTAATCATATTATAATTAATAAACAATTAAATAATATAATTTATTTCCTAATCTAATTAGGAATTAATTTACTAAATAATTTTATTACAAATTAAACTCTTTTAATTTTTCTTTCTAACTAAATTATAAAATATTCTAAAATAAATTTTAATTACTGAAAATTAATTTTAATGACCCTCAAAATTTAATTAATTCCAAATTAATTAAAATATCAAATAAAAATTAATTTTAGGACATAGTTGAAACGAATTCAAACAGTTTTGGATGCAATTGCAAATATGGAAAAATTTCAGGAACCAAACCGTATCATAAAAACCTTTAGGGATTAAGATGCAACTTTGCATCATCTTCTCAAAACGGAAACTGTTTCCTGCGATAGGAATTCCTAAGGCCGCAGAAACATTCCCGCCGTTGACGGTTTCCGCTTGGTCAAGGGACGGTCTGGAGGTGGTCGCACCACCAACGACTCTCCCTTCTCGGCCTTGACAGCATTGTCTCGCCGGAATCGCAGTCTTTCTATTTTTTTTTAATTTAAAATCGGAAAATGCAGAACCGAACCGGAACTCTCACAGGGAGGCGACGCGCGTCCAGTCGAACCGGATGCAGCACTGCCCCCTGCGGCTCACGGAGGCCGGCGATGGTGAATCGCAACCTCAGTTTTGTTCCTATTCTTCAATAAAAAGTCCAATTCAAAAAATTTTTTCTTTTATTTTATATTTTATTAAATCAGATTTAATTGAAAAATATACCTTAAAAAAATAAAGAACATCATATTTTTGCCATCCCAGTAATCAACATATTGTTTTTACATCTTAAACATTTAAATGACGGCTCTGATACCACTGTTGGGTTTCAATATAACAAATAAGCAGTGGAGTAAGATAATTATAACAAAATAATTATTTCAACAGTGATCTGTTTAAATGATTAAAATAATAAAATTATTTAAAAGTAGATTCTTCAAAACTTCTATCTATGTAGCTAGGTTGTCGCAAACCATTAACTGATCAATTGTCCGACTTCTAATAATATCCACACAAATAGACAATAAAAAAACTCTAAAACTATTTTAGAGGGTTGAGAGATTAGAGAATATGATGATATTAGATATCTATGTTTAGTTTTGTGGTTATGAACAACAACTGTCTTTAAACTGTCTCTTATACTTTATATATGAAAACTCTATGTCATAAATTAATTATAATTATTTATTTAAATATTTAAATAAATAATGTATAACTAAAATATATATGTGCGTATTTATTTATTTAAACAATTTAAATAAATGATCATAATACATATAGTAATAGGATTTTCAATTTAATTAAATTTATTTATTTATTTAACTATTTAAATAAATAAATCACAATTAAAATATTAGGTTTACTTAATAAATTTTAGACATAAATCAATTAAGTAAATACTTAATAATTTAGGTAAAATTGTAATTAAATTTAAATAACAATTTTATCCTTAATGTTCCAAAACTTATTTGTAATCAAGTAATACTTGATTCGATTTCTCATTTTCATTTTTCTCATATCCATTCTTATGTGTGTGACGTTCTAGATTCCAAACATGTAGGGGACAAATATAAATTAAATTAAATTAAATAATTAATATTTAAATGTCAAATACATTGTTAGAGAACATGTTATAGTTACCCAAATATTTGAAAAGTCATAGTGGTTTGACTTAATCTTTCAGTGCATGATTTATTAGTATAATTAATATCCCTTCATTATTAATGTTCTGATTCAATAATTAGGCATGAAGTGCGTTTGCTTTACTAAATCATGTTAGTTTTCTTTGATCATTTAAATGAAATTCCAAATTCTAATTTGCTAATTTCATTTTACCTTGCGCAAGGAGTTCTTAATCAATACTAATAAAGAACAATCAAAACATTTTTTCTGATTTTCCTAAGTGAATGAATCATCTCTTAATTACACAAGTATCTCTATACAGTTTCTACTATATCCAATTAATCATTACTTATTATTCATAAATGAATAATGTGAATGAAGAATCAAAATGTAATCATCCTCATATAAGATAACTTAGTAATTTTAAGTCAAAATATCACTTACACAACTATCCCTTGAGTATTTCATAGACCATAGACACAAGTAACTCTTTATATGGAATTCTCATGCAGGTCAATTCAATGAACTTATTCAAATAACAAGCACCCACATATTAGTTCCAGATATCACGTATATCTCAGCTTATATGAACAACTGTTTCTCTAAGGAAAGAACTTACTGTCTACCAATCTCAATAGCTTTAATTATTGTCTAATAATGAGGAGAACATTGACTAGGAATGTTTAGAGACACTGCTTTAATGCAACTATAAAACTTATAATTAATAACCACATTATAATTTATTTTGCAACGTAGTATTGTCTCATGGACTTTATCTTTTAACGAGATCAAATAAATAGAATATAAAAGATAAATAAATACCTTTTATTCATAATAAAATATTTATTACATGAAATATTATATCTAAATTATAACCAATCAAATTGGCTATAGGGCATATAACTAATATAAACTCTATTCACACATGAAACAAGACAAATAAACCCAATTCATAAACTTTAAACAAAATTTTAGCTTTATTATATATCGTTTGAATTTTATGTCTATATGCATAGAATAGGTTTAATGTGGTAGCTAGCTTCTTTAATTTTTACGTTGCTGCTTTTCGGGTTTTTTTTTTTTTTTTTTTTTTTTTTTTTTTTTTTTTATCCTATATATAAAATCAATCATTGAATGATTTTTTTTTTTTTTTTTTTTTTTTTTTTTTTTTTTTTATGAATCTTATCCTATATATAAAATCAATCATTGAATGATTTTCAGAATTGGGGAAAAAACACTAATTTGGATAAAAACTATGCTTCTAAATTCTAACATATTTCAACATCACCATAGTTTACAGATAAAATAAGATTGAACCGTAAATTATCTTACGAGGGAGATATAGTAGCTTAGAATTCGAGCCTGAGCTCATCTTTTTCATCGGAGAGATAGTGGAGAACGTAAGGAGCGACTCCAACAACGGCAACCCAAACACTGAATATGATAAGTAAAATGTTTTTAATTCGATTGGATTTGATTTTCTTTTGGTTTTTCTATTTCGCAGCTTACTCCTTGCCTTTCAAAAAATCTTCAACCCTAGACGTAGTTTTTTATTTGTAAAAAGAAAATTAAGAATGGAAGGTGTATTCCACCTTCATCGCATGCGATTGTTAACTATTGGAAATTAGGTTTAGATTGTTCAATCTTCTTGACTTTTTATAGAGCTGGTTAGAAGTATATTAGAAAAATGTTAGTGATATCTGGATAAAGATAGCGGAGATCTTTCAGTATCTGTTAGTTAGAGATTATCTAGGAATCTAATATCCCTCAATATATATTTATATATCATTTTTTGATGTATTTTATTATTATATATTATCAGATATCATATTGACAAATTTGCATAGTTCTCAATTATGGGATTGACACTTATTTCTACTCTTTTTTGCTATCCATAGCTAAGTTAGTAAACACACCTCAAGGCTTAGGAGCTCTTAAGCAATGTCTAGGATTTGAATTATGGCATTGTAAATGGAGAAAATTGAGTTGGAAAGGTCGCCCCCTTAATGGACCTCTACAGAATCTGAATATGGATTATTTGATTGTGTCGAATACCAAATGGTTTAATAAAAAAAAAACATTTTACTTATCATATTTTTCTGGATAGTCTCACATATAGAAGTTTAATATTTGATGAGTTCGCTTCCACAAAAGGCCAAGAGACTGAAAGGGAGGAACTAAGAATATCTGAACAGTTTAAAATATTTGTTTTTTTTATTTGTATATTATGATCTTTTGTTTCAATGATGTATTTTGCTTTTAACAGTAAAACATGCGCTTAGAAATTTATTATTTCTGAAATTATTTTTAAATTTGAATTTGTTTGTGTTGCAAAGTACAAAAATATAGTTGGTTCTAGTAGTCATTTGTTTAATAAAAGAATATAAAGATATTTTTAGATTAATATTTCATTCTCTTTTTTTTAACTTGAAAAACGGAATTTTTAGACAAGAATTGGACGGAAAGACAAAAAGTTAGTATAAGAACTTCATAAAACATTTTCTATAGAGTAGGGACGTAATCATAATTTCCCCAAAAAGTGTCAAAAGCATTTTGTTTCTGTTCCTTCTCTGTTAGATCTTATGATGAGAAGAATGGAAGTGTTTCAGTTACAAGTTTGGATCTAGCAATGGGTCTATTGCGCTCGTGACCTTTCTCCTCTTTCTCCCCTCCTCAAACAAGCACTCAAGCTCCTTGAGGAGTTCTTTTGTCCTTTAAACACCATTCATTTAATTAAAATTCCTCTGCTTTGCTTCATTCTCAGATTGCTTCCAAGCAAAACAGCTTTTTTACATTCATGTCACAATAACAGCTTTTTTTCACTCTTCCTGTCAGACTTCGTTGAAGAGTAATAGAGTCCCCTGCACACTTGTGTTGTCTCCAAAAATGGCTAAAAGTCTTGCTTAAACCCATTGCATTTGATATATCACATCGTTGCTATAACTCTCCTTCCACAGTTTATTGCAATACACCAATAAAAAATTTATACCTCTTATTTCCATGAGATGCATGTTTTGTCCTTCCAATCCAGAGGCTGCAACTTCAAAAGCAAGAACCTTAAGCTTTGTTAACAGTTCATGTTGTTTAGTCTGATCTATCACTTGCTCTGTCTTCCAGGTACATAGCTTATGAACATCTGAAATTGCTGCTGAAAAGCTTGTACCCACCATAACTATTGGCTCTGGTATCAAATGTCAGAATTGCAACTTCGAATCTAGTTATGGGTCTATTTAGCAGACATAAAAAAAATGTATTTAGATTAGAGCTCATAACAGAAAAGTAGCAATTGCAATGACCCATCCCATAGATAATTGGGATTAACAACAAACATAGACAAAGACCCATTTCATATGAATATTTTATTTTATCATTCCCTACGATTGTCTAGAAGCTAACCAGCAAAGCAGCATTAGCCCTAAGATATCAAGCTACAAAAAGGGAAAAAAAAAGTTATTTAAGGAAAAGAAACTCATTCAAAATATTCACCTTAAGAATTTAGAGCCGTGCATTCATCCTGTCCCAATTTGATGGATCTGGAAGAGACAAAGTAGAAGTTTCTTCACTCTCATGGCCCTTGGAGGCTCTACTTCTACTCACTGTTTTATAACAAAGATAAGACAATGACTGCAGCCATGAAACTAATGTCGGTTTGCGTGTAACATCATCAGATTCAGCAACCTGAGTATACAACTCATTGAGAACCACATTTTGGCCATCTTTTGGTAACTGGATAATAAGTTGCGCCAACAACTTCATTAAGTCTGGTAGTACCTAGAAAAAAAAAAAGCCAATTATGTAAAAATAATACATAAGTACATACATACATACATACATATATGCATGTGTATTTGAAAAAAAGTACTGAACCCTCCTCATGCATCTTCAAGAAGTGGAGTGGAATGTAACAATATAGTTAATCAATCAATATCATTAAATCAACTTTCAATATGAAGATCAGGAACAAATTTAAACAACAGTTCTAAATTAAATACGTACTTGTATATCAACTAACGATATAAGCCGTAACAACAGTTCTAAGATTTTCTTAAAAGGCTCTGACTCTCCCTGCCAGTTTTTCCATATATCTGTATCCCGAAAGGAAATATCACCGCAGAGTATATTTGCTTTTTCAACAAGACTATGGATACAATAAAATAAGGCTGGACTCCCAGCAGGAAGACTCCGAACCAAGGCTGCAACTCCAGAAGCCATACCCTCAAAGGGGGTAATACCAGGGTATCCCTGCATTCATACAAAAGTACAAGTCAGAAACTAGAGTTGAATGATCAAACCATCAAAATAAGGCTTTCAGCTGCTTAGGTACCTGTAAGGATCTTTGCAGGTAATAGAAAGCTAGTTGCTCCTTGAGTAACGCTCTTTCATTTTCAGTAGAATCCTTCCCTGAAGATATGAATGCCACAAATATGGAATGGGAGGCTCGAGCTACTTTTCCATTTGGATGCCCCATATATCTAATAGCATTTGTAATAAGGAATCAAAATTCTACATGCCATATAAGAACTGAGCTTCCCAGTAAACTAGTTAATTGTGTAATACAGGATACAAGAACATAGTGGGAGCTACTACCCTGCTAAATACAGGGCCAGGCAAGCGTTCAACACATGTTGGTATAACCCGCAGGTAAAATAAAATGCGGGCAGTATGCACTTCATCCTTGAACCATCTATATTCCACTTTGTGCATGATTTCTACAAGAAATCATTTCAAATTTCATGAATAAGTAAGTTAAAAATTTTTTTTAAATAAAAAAATGAGAATCAACTGATTGTGCATCCTAACACAACATACGGAGAACGGAATTACAAAATACACCAGGGATACCTTGAGGATTTGTAGAATCAGCATAAGAGGGCATAGATTCAACGAAAGAGCCACATGCAGTCCCATTTTCCTGTACAATAACAACCACACCTCTTATTACATCCATGTACTCAGACAAGCGCATCCTGCGGAAATACTCTACACAAGAGAATGAAACTAGTATTGAAACAGAAGTCTCCATCTGAGCTTCAGGTGAGTATTTTGAATTTAGTTTGTGCCTAGTAACAGCCAATGCAAAAACCACGACCATAAGGAAAGAAGACTCAGCAATTTTCTCAATATCTGCAAGCAATTCATCCTCTTTGCCGCGAAGAACAAAGGCAACTTGACGATGTCCCAAGTAGAGATCTTGGCAGAAATTCCATATCATATTTTCCACCATCACCTTGTTTTCTTCATCTATTGAGATATACTGGTTGCAGAAAACACCACATATGGCCCCTGCTTCCTTAAAAGAAACACTATTCAGATGTTCTTTAACCTCACCAGGCCTTATTTTAGCAAAACTGCCATGTGGTATTGCAAGGATCCTTGTATATAAACGCCGCAAGGGAAATATTTCCATTAATAATGCTGACAAAATCGATAAAAGCAGAGGAACTCGGGAAGACACAGACCCACATCGAGCCAAAGCTAATGAAATGCATTGTAGCAAAAGACTAGTTTTGGAATCATTTTCTGCTCCAGAAAAACCTCTTGTATCAGTAATCAAATCCTGTGCCACAGATTCTATCCGATTCTCTGAAGAAATCCTTAATCTTGAAACAATATGCAGGTCTTGGCCACCAGATATCGATCTATTCAAAGCTCTAAGAGTGCCAGCTGCAGCCATGACGAGAGCAAAAGGAACATAGTCTGGCTTCGTACTCTCTAGAGTCTCTTGAGAGAACTTTTGCAATTTCTCCTTAGAGTTTGATTTAATGAACCCAAACATAAACCAATCAACCAAATGCAGAATCATGAGTCCATGGGAAACGCTACCTTGAGGTCCATCCTCCTTCCCCCAAATTCCCAACAATGCGTCCAATATTCTAACAAAACAAGTATTCACAGAAGAACATAAAGCATATCCAATACCTGCAAGAATATCTGGAATAAGTCCATGAACAGAGCCAACCAATCTGTATTCTTCATTCAACAACCTGGAGAGCAACTGCAAACAAACAGACTTGGAGGCTTCTGATGCAGAGGGAACAAAAGCAAAAGCACCTAGAAGGAGAACCCCTTGAGCAAATAGCTCAGGACTTTTCTTGGCAACAAAGTCATTATCTAAAAGTTTAGAGAGGACATGCACCGCTGAATCAACAAGCACTGAAGAGGGCCTGAAGGATTTTCTAACCCAGATGTAAAGAAGCCGAAGCAACAAAGGATATGATTCGAGAGGAAGGAAGAGGCTTTGAGAGGATAAAATGGAAAGAAGAAGCTTTGCTTGGGGATCAGCAACATGAAGGGAAGCTTGAGAGTGAAGAAGGATTTTCACAGCCTGAAGATGATTGGACTGGAATGATTGATGTTGAAGGGAATCTCTGAGTTCAGCCCATGCTTGAATAATGGCCCGGGCAGATAAGGTTGAAGATTGGCTTGTGGTGATGCTGGTACTAGTAGTAGTAACAGTTCCACTATAGCTCCTCAGCCATTCTTCAAGGAAAAGGGTATGATTATCTTGTCTAGCCATATTTGTTTGTATTCCTTACCTGCACAAAAACAGTATCTTCTTTTCTTCAGATAGACAGTCTATAATCTAAAGCATATGTTTCCATATTATCAATTACAGCTATATGATAACAAATCAGCTTAGATAAATTCTTAATTTCTTATCCATTATCTAGCATTCAACTTCAAATTGTAGTAATGGGCATCTTAGATATTACTCGAATCAGATATAGCCAGTAAAATAAATTAATACCCAATTCTAGATAATTATAAGTGCAACCAGTTTGCTATTGCTTTCCATTCATTGATGAGTGATAGAAATAGAAATTGGGCCCAAAGAGAAAATTTTGCAAACTCCCAACAAGCAATTCCCCTGTACTATCTTCGTCTGAAGGTTTCGAATAGATTCCTCTTGGCGAGCCCATGCTTGGTATATTTCGCTTGAAAATTTGTGTAATCATTCAATGGATCAAGCAAGATGTTGATTTCTCTTTTCAAATCAAGGTATTCTTCGATCGAGAATATTCCCTAAAAGAGCTCTATAAAATGCTTGCCGATGTGTACAGTGCGCTAAGAGAATACAATCGATCGTCTATAAGGGAATGCACCCCGCGGAAACAAGGGCGAATTGGCCGCACTCTACCCGGTTATGGGGCAAGAAAGGGATTGATAAACGAAGCACCTGTTCTCCTTCCTATCCTATTTCTTTGGAAATCAATCTTTCCCCAGCTCCAAATTGAGTTTTGGACATACAATATCTTTCAATTTAATGATACTATATGCATGCAAGACGTTTAGAGCTACAACAATTCAATATGAACAAGAAGAATAAAATCAAAAGGGTTACCTGGTTAATTAGCTGCTATAGAGAGATGGATACTGAAAGGCCGGTAAAGCAGAAAGACCATTGATTCTCCGTATAAATCGCCTCAAAAGTGAATTGCACTTGCCTTCTTCTTTCCATCACTTCCTATCTTCTGCTACTGTCCAATCCCACATCCCGATGAAACCTATTAGTTTCCTTAACGGTTATTTCTAAATTACTATTTAAGCCTTCTATCCTATTACAATACAATTACACCTACTGCCCTTGTCACTGTACTTACGCGCCGTACTTGACAATCTTGGTGGCCCACCATAACTGTTTTATATTAGCCCCATACATGTAAGTTGACTGCAACGCCCTTTCAAAATTTTACACACGCCTGAGTTCCAGAGACGTTTAAGAAATGGTCTGGTTGCCCTATCGAGAGCCGATGGGAATTTGAGGGTGCTCATGGAGTTGGGTGAGAGTTTAGGAAAATCGCAGAAATTGGAAGGAATCGAAAGGTTCTGGATTGTCGTCGAACCCCAACATCGTAACATCTACGATCTCTCCTCTTATCTAGGGTTGGCCACGGTTCAGATTACGGTTTGAAACCGAACAGATACGGTTCTAATTCCGATTCCTTAATGGTTTGAAAACCGACAGTTCCGACTGGTTCTTCAATTGGTTTTCTGGCGAATCGCATAATTGTAAAATAAAAAATTAAATAATATTTTTTCTTCAAAATTTAAAATTGAAAAATTTGAGAAATAATTTCTAAAAAGAAAAACACCCTTAAAAATTAAAAAAATGCTTGAACTTAATTTATTTTTAGAAAAAAATGTTTAAACTTAATTTTTGTTTTAAAAAAAAAAAGTATGTCCCTCAATATTCGGATTCTTGAGCTGAAATTTCTAAATTTTCATTTGGATATCCCTCAAGATTATATTGGTTGAGAGTGAAATCGAAAATATAGTTTGTAGGGATAGATGAATATTATGTTTTTCCAACCTTTTCCTTACCTTAGCGGAACTTGAGTTTCCTCTACTTGTGTCACGACCCGTTTCCATGGGCCGGACCGGCACTAGAGCCCAGGTAAGCTTAAGGCCCCCGAGGCCCGTAGTAAGCCTAAATTATCCAATATGTACCTTTCCTTACCTTAGCGGAACTTGAGTTTCCTCTAACTTGTGTCACGACCCGTTTCCATGGGCGCGGACCGGCACTTAGAGCCCAGGTAAGCTTAAGGCCCCCGAGGCCCGTAGTAAGCCTAAATTATCCAACTATGGTCTACCTATCTTTTCCAATTTCATCAAAACAGTAAACCCATATACAAACATCTGGCCAATCTTCAAATAACACATAATGTATAACTAGGGCCTATTCACAATAAATTATAAATCACATTATGCTTACTGGTTGTCACTCCAGCCTAATTACATAATATTTTAATTTATATGTAGTGCTAACAATAAGTTCCAACATTAATACACAACCCTATAAAACTGCGAGTTCACTATAACTGCGGAGTCCAAAAATAATCTGATAACAGAATAATTTATACATCCAAAATTAAATAACATGAATATAAAGTTTACATTTGTAACTCTGCAGAGAAGATTGCAGAGCTTCAGCCGAATCAGCTGCTTCCTAGTACCTGGAAGGTTTGTTGGGGAGGGGTGAGTTTTGCAACTCAGTGAATAATAATAAATAATACACACCACATACAGTCAAGCAAAATGCACCATAATATACTGAATGAACACACAACAGTCAATCATATGACATTACATCAGCACCCACAAACAATATCACCTTCAAATAATCACATCACGTGGAATTCAAATAATCACATCACGTGGAAATTAGTTAGTGGCATCACCGAAACCCCGATGAGCCGTCCTCCCACATGGCCCATCCACTCACGTGTGCACCAGGGAGCTAATCCCCCATTCTGGTCGACCGGTATAATCCTCACACGACCAGTCCTCTCATTATTTTTCTAGTCTCTCTTTTCTTTTTTTTTTTATACCAACTAGAGGTAACCCGGTCGTCTCCATCAAATCTAGATCATCAGGCGCTCACAACAGGAGGCCAACCTGCGGGCTGCAATCAAATCTAGAGTCTCCATCAAATCTAGATCTTCAAGCGCTCACAACAGGAGGCCACCCTGTGGGCTGCGATCAGATCTAGATTATCGGGTGCGCCCAATAAAGAAGCCAACTTGTAATTTTTCATATCACACAAATCATAGCGATAGGTGCACACGGGGGCACCGATCTCCCGTTTACCGGGCCAAATTTCATATTATATTCAGGATCCATATCACATTTACCATTCTCCCAAACCCATGGTGACCCACTTCATCCCAATTCCACACAAACAAATCACAGCATAGCCACAACACAAATAATCAGACAATTCATTCATCATAAACACCAATTTCATCCAAATGCACAATTATATATAAGTATAATTATAGTGATCGTAACATATTATGTAAAAATACTTATAAATATATTGTAATTATATAAATAAAAATATAATGTTTATAAATAAATGTTATGCCAAAGCGAGTGTTGATAGCATGTTTTAGTTAATTCTCCAGTTATGGAGAGCGAAGTTCTAGCTTGACTCTGTTCCTGTGAGGAAGCACTAGATGGACCCCGGCCGATCTAAGAAATTAAGAATGACACCAAAACCAAAGTAAACATATTATCAAATAAAGCATTTCTTACCACTCTTTAGAATTTATTTTAAAACTCTTATTTTTCTACGTAATCTATCTCGAATATTAATTTCTTTTCTATAATAAAATTTTATTCTTCTACCGAAACTCATTTTATTTATTCTTTCGAAATCTATTTTATTTTCTATTCCTTCTACCGAAATTTATTTTATTTTTTTATACCGAATTTGTTTTTATTTTTCTACCGAAACTTATTTTATTTCTACCGAAATTTCGGCAGCATCTCCCCCTAAAAGTTGGACTATCCACCTGTTAAAATATACACAATTTATCTAAAAATTTCAAACCACACAGCCCATCCATCGGGCAATCAATCAATCAAATTTTTCCATCCTCCATCAATAACGTTATATCGAAACTTCATTAAATCAACAATAAAATTATAAATCTTGTAACTACTCACAATTACTAAATTAAATTAACTAAATTAATTCACTACAACCAATAAATTTAATTTAATTAACTACTATTACTAACATTAACTTAACTAAATTAATTGACTACTAATAATAAAAATTAGCTAATATTACTAACATTAATTTAACTAAATTAATTAACTACCAATAATAAAATTAATTTAATTAAATAATATTATTAAAATGAAATTATACCCAATATATTGTTGCCGGACTTTTTGGTTAACCGGAAATGGAGGTTGGTGGCCGGAGAGGAGGGTGGCGATGGCGGATCGACTGCGACAGCAAGGTGCGGCGGTGGCGCACGGTGGCTGGGTGGCGCGATCACCTGCTGTCTCGCCAGAAATGAAGACGCAGGCGCAGTGAAGGGAAAAAGGAAAGAAAGAAAGAAAAGAAAGACCTGCAGAGGGCCGACTGTGGTGCGCGAGGAGCTGCGGGACGTGCTGGCGCGCGATGGAGGTGGTCGACTGCAACTGTGCACGTTGGTGGTGATCGACTGACGTTGCTGAGCTGCTGGAGTTGCTGGGATGACGCACAGTTCAAGGAAGAAGAAAGGGAAAGAAAGAAAGAAAAAAAGGGAAAAAAAGAAAGAAGAAGAAGAGAAGAAGAAAAGAGAGGAGAGGAGGTGGGCAGAAAATGGTGAGGGGAGGTGAAGTTTGCGCGTGATTAAGAGGGGAGAGCTTCTAGAAGTTGGTTTGGGGCTGATTCGGTTTGATTCTGGTTGATTCAGCCCAAATCTTGGTTTTCTTTGATTGGCCGTTTTCAATGGTTTTCGATTCGTTTTATCAGTTACAAATTTATTAATTTGCATTTAAATAATTAATACATTTTCAGGTCTGCCGTTTATTAAATTTAAATGGAAAAATCTTTAAAAATAAAAATCGGGTTATTTCAGTCTTTTCCCCCCTTTAAAAAAAATTCGTCCTCGAATTTTGAAAATAAAAAGAAATAGGATGCAACAGTTGTTACGACAATGTGGTTATTTGCTGGTTATGCTTCTCACATAATGATGCAACTGTTAAAAGTTATCACCATAGTTAATTTAAACTTGAGTTGTACTATATCTACAAGTCAAATCGAGTAAAACATTCATAACCCAAGGCACAGATTCGACTCTAGTATTCACTGTTAAGCGTAAGAATTTAAGTTCCTCATAACCTCCGCTCAAGTAAAGGTTGTTACTCTCATTAGCTATATATCATGTGACCTATATTGATGTATCGCCTCATTTATCTCTCACTAGCTATTATAGGCAACGATCATTTCTCAATAAGATGCTCATACACAAACCAAGCATTAAATCTTCTGATACTTGCATCCACATATTCAAATTTACTACTATTTTACTACTATTTCTAATTTAGGATTCCTTATTATTATTATTATTCAAGTTCTACCAATAAGTACCATTCGATCCTTTCCAATTAAAGAGAACAAATTCATGCACTACCACAAGCTTATTTTCAACCAGAAATCATGACATTGTTCTAACTTAATTTTTGCTAGTCCCTAATTAAGGAGATTCCTGACTTTTCTATCCCAAATCTCATTCACATATTTATCCAAACTTAAACGCATTTTCCAACGAGATAGGGAATATACAATCTCTTTTCCAAAATTTTTCAAATCCTACTAATGAGAATTCATACTATACCATTTCTTAACTAATTATGACAAGAACTTATGCAACTAGTCAAGTTAGCTGTTGCCATGCCAAATATTCTTAATGTATTTTCTAAAATATGCACACACCATTCCATTACACTCAACTCCATAAAGAAGTCTAGCCTACATTTTTTTTTTAATCTTACTCAAGATGTAAAATTCTCCAAATCGTAGTTTATATTCAATTTATCTATTTCTTCTGTCTTTAACCAATCTTTTAGACCGAAATTTATGTATCTAGAAATCAAGAATCCTAAACAAGTAGTGCCTTTTGCTCTAACTAAGTACGGGATTA